TCGGGTCCCATGAAAAAATTGACTGGAAATGTAAACACATTCTCCAGATATCATGTCAGATCTGATGTGTATTTTCAGCAACTTGTTTTTATTTGCTACAATTATGCATTTTCCCCAAGTATTGAAAAAATGGAAACCGATCAGAAAGTACCCATGAGCCATTTTTCCCTCTACAATATTAGCAAGCACCTAAATCTAGTGATAGAAATGACACATTACACCAAATCCTCCTTATCCATAGGGGATAGGGGTAAGGACTACTTATGGATAACAAAAATGTGGATGCCACTCTTATATAGCTCTTCGACATACAAAGGATAATGTAATCAGACTAGACAAGTCAACGAGAAAACAGAAATGATGCTACCTAGGACTAACCTCATAGAAATCAGCTAATAACGAAGGTGAAGTGCATACAAAAGAGAAAAACTCTGGTAACTCAACGGGTTTGCCTCACCCGTTAAATTAACCCATACAGAATCTGTGTTTCACCAGAATACTGAGAAAACCTGTTAGTAGCCTATTTGGAAGGTGTTTTCTAGTTATTCCTATGGGAAAGTAACTGCATACAATAATTCCACGAGCATCATCCTGAAAGCAGAATCAGTTGTTACAGCGCGGAGGCCATTTAGCCCATGTGTCAGCACCAGCCCTTTAAAAGAGCATTATCCAGTGTGAACATCATGCTTTGTTTCTCTCCCCCCTCCCCCGCCACCTACATCCTTATACATTCTTATCCAAATACTCATCCAATGCCCTCTTCCAAGCCTCAACTGAACCTGCCGCCACCATACATTCAGGCAGTGTATTCCATACTCTGAGTAAAAACGTTTTAAATAATTTTACCCTCACTTACTTTGCGGCTCATTTTAAATCTACATCAACTTGGTATTATTCCTTTTACAAGCAGGAAGAGAGTTTCTCCCCAACTACCCTACCTAGTCCACTCATGATTTTGAAAACCTCTACCAGATCTCCTCTTAGCTGCCTTCTTTCCAGCAGTCCCAACTTCTTCAATCTGTCCTCATAACTGAGGCAGACGTTTAAGGGGATATTTTAGAAAGCACAGAATACAAAAATTCCAACAAGAAAGAAAGAATTCCAGTGAGAGAACTGTGCTTAACTAAAAGTTAAAGTTAATATTCAGCTGAAAGAGAAAGCATATAATTGGTCAGAAGATTGGACAGAATATTAAAAAAAGGAACAAAAGAAAGAAAAAGATTAAAGTATGAGTGAAAACTAGCTAGAAACATAAAAACAGGTTTTACGTGTTTCTATAAATATTTAAAAATGAGTTGAAGTAAGTACCTATCCTACAGAAAGTGCGTCTGAGAAATTAGAAAGGAAAATTAAGAAAATGGCTGATCTATTAACAGGTATTTTGCATCAGTCTCCACTGTACAGGATGTAAATAACAAATCAGAACAGAAATTGCTATAAATCAGGAAATGTAAAGGTAGGAGGTACTGAAGGAAATTGAAATCACCAGGGAAGTGGTGCTGATCAAATTGATGGACTTGCAAGTTGATAAGTCTCTGGGGTTCTGATGGGCTTCAGCCTGGAGTCTTGAATAAAAAGTGGGTTTTGAGTCAGTTGATGCATAGCGTTTAATATTCCTAGGGTGACACGGTGGCTCAGTGGTTAGCACTGCTGCCTCACAACACCAGGGACCCAGATTCGATTCCACCCTTGGGTGACTGTGTGGAGTTTGCACAATCTCCCTGTGTCTGAGTGGGTTTCCTCTGGGTGTTCCGGTTTCCTCCGACTATCCAAAGATGTGCAGGGTAGGTGGATTGGCCATGCTAAATTGCCTGTAGTGATCAGGTATGTTTAGGTTATGTGGGTTAGATATGGGGTGGGATGTTTTTCGGAGGGGAGTTGTGAACTTGTTGGGCCGAATGGCCTGTTTCCACACTGCAGAGATTCTATGACTCTATGAATTCCCTAGATTTGGGGTAGGCTTCAGTAAATTGAAAAATAGTGAAAGGACCTCCTGTATTCAAAAAAGGAGAGAAGAGAATAGAAAGTGGGAAACTGCAGATCAGTTAACTTAACATCTGGAATAAGGGAAATGTTAGTAGCTATTGTTAACAATGTCATAACAGTGTGCTTAGAAATTTCAAGGTAATTGGGCATAGACAACATGGTTAACCATGATTTCCCTTTCACAACCAATTTATTGGAGTTCCTTAAGGAATTAACAGTTGCGGTATATAACTAGAACTTGTGTATGTACATAACTTGTATTTCCAGGCATTTGATAAGGTACACATCAAAGATTATTGTGAAAAATAAGACATTATGTTGTATATTGCATGAGTAGAAGATTGGCTGGCTAATAAGAAACAGAGAGTAGAAATAAAAGGGTCATTTTCTGGTTGGCAAGATGTTATGAGTAGTGTACTGCAAGGATCAGTACTATGGCCTCAATGATTTACAATAATTTGTATTAATGACTTGAACATACCAAATGTCTGGTAGCTAAATTTGCTGATGATTTGCTTACAAAGATAGGTAGGAAAGTAAGTTGTGAAGGTGACATAAGACTACAAAGGGATATGTTTCAGAGACAGTAGGAACTGCAGATGCTGGAGAATCTGAGATAACAAGGTGTAGAGCTGGATGAACACAGCAGGCCAAGCAGCATCGGAGGAGCAGGAAGGCTGACGTTTTGGGCCTAGACCCTTCTTCAGAAATGGGGGAGGGGAACAGGGTTCTGAAATAAATAGGGAGAGCGGGGAGGCGGATAGAAGATGGATAGAGGAGAAGGTAGGTGGAGAGGAGACAGACAGATCAAAAAGGCAGGGATGTAGTTAGTAAAGGTGAGCGTAGGTGGGGAGGTAGGGAGGAGATAGCTCAGTCCAGGGAGGACGGACAGGTCAAGGGGGCGGGATGAGGTTAGTAGGTAGGAGATGGGGGTGGGGCTTGAGGTGGGAGAAGGGGATAGGTGGGGGGAAGGACAGGTTAGGGAGGTGGGGACAAACTGGGCTGGTTTTGGGATGCGGTAGCGGGAGGGGAGATTTTGAAGCTTGTGAAGTCCACATTGATACCATTGGGCTGCAGGGTTCCCAAGCAGAATATGAGCTGCTGTTCCTGCAACCTTCGGGTAGCATTGTTGTGGCACTGCAGGAGGCCCAGGATGGACATGTCGTCTGAGGAATGGGAGGGGGAGTTGAAATGGTTCGCGACAGGGACGTGCAGTTGTTTAGTGCAGGTGAACATCTGCTTGATGTGGAAAGTCTTCTTGGGGCCT